CTACTGTTGTTACAGTATCAAAATGGTTATGAAACCATATAAAAACTGCATAACTATGATTATTTTTTAGGTTATATCAGATATTGTTGGTGCAATTGAGAGGCCACTTGAATGCACTGCTAGAAGTTCTGGCACTCAGACGCCATACTAATTACACTTCTATCTCTGTGTATTTTGGTGAGGTTCTGTTATTCAGTGGACCTAGTTCAACTTGAAGTTTCTCCACTGCCACGGACAGCAGGTGTTACCTTGATTTGTGTTCAAAGAAACAGAGGGTTTCCTGTAGAGAAGGTTGTTTTACCTAACAAGTAATAACCTAACAAGTTTCCACTGAATTAAAAAATAAAAACAAAAGCAAAACTTTGGAGGTAGGAGGAGTCCAGACCAACCGGGAAATCCTTAAAGCCACAAGGAGTGAATACAAACAAGATGGGACTAAAAGTGACCCATCCTCCTTTGTAATCCAGGATTTGAGCTATAACACAGCAACTAGTTTATCTATCATAATCTTAATCTGAAACAAAGTGCAATACCTACGAACTCTAACCCTAGGGCCTTAGTATGCAGTCATCGTTTAGGAAATAAAATCTGTAATACCATTGCTACCCATCTAGAAATTCTGGAAGTTCAGACACACAGAAAGTAAATCTTGCTACAGAAAAATATAAAATGTAGTTGTGGGGTGGTATAGACTGTGATGTTCAAGTTTCAGAATACTTTGGAGATCTCCTTTTAGCTAATAAACTATAATGAATATTTTAAAGGTTTTTCATATTATATGGTGTAGTACATAAAAGCACCATGTCATTCATTAGATTGGACTACTTATCAGTAATTTCCTCAACAATCCTAATGATAGGGAGAAAACTGAAAACTTTGGAGAAAAAAGGTAAGAAAAAAGATTGCTTATTCATAAAAATTTTACCTATCAGTTTCCTGCAAACTATAATATCCCTACCCTACTTCTGGATATATGTATAAAAATAAACAGACCTTTTCCTTGAATGAATATTGTGAAATGACTAAATGATCTCAGTCTTGCTAAAACCTCTTTTATCATGCAGGAATGGGGAAATAATGTGAAGAACTCAAGAAGAAATGTGGTGATTTTAATAATTAACGATGAAAATACATTTACATGATAAAAATTACTACCAAGTTATACATGTAGTCATTTAAAGAAACGGCTTTCTGAAAGACAGAGTAAATGTATTAAATCCCATCGATTTCTTTTCCTCTTGTTTTTATTGTAGAGAAAGTGCTCATAAACCTGCAATATCTAAAATCAATTCACATATTTACTTGTACTCTGAGAATAAGTAATTTATTATCAAGATGGCAAAATAAGTTCAAGAAGAAATTCTCACTGCTCTGCCCAAAACACATAGTAATAATACATAAAATACCAAAAGACAAAGCTGTGATTTAAAAAGAAAAAGATCCCACGGACTAACAATGTATTTTGTCCTCGTAAAAGAAGGAACTATGGAATCTGGTAAACTATAAGGAGGCTCATTTTATTGTTTAACAACACTTTCCTCAGATTTATGGGATCTAGTTCTTTTTTTATTTTTTTATTTATTTTTTTTAAAGATTTTATTTATTTATTTTTTCCCCCCAAAGCCCCAGTAGATAGTTGTGTGTCATAGCTGCACATCCTTCTAGTTG